ATCACAGGCATGAACCACCATGCCCTGCTATATTTTATTTTCTAACTTTTCTAACTTTTCTAATTCAGTTGAGTATATCTGGATTGCGTGTGAGAGAGTGGATGGGGCTTTAATGGGGTATAGATCTTTCTAACACATACCAGTGGTTGGGGGATTCCCAACATGTTTATCTTTGGTCCTCACCCAAACGAAAGTATCAGGCTATCTGAGAAACTTTCTACTTTGGATGTATGTGAGCAGCTGAATTGGGTGTCAGTATGTTCCACTTGAACTCATTTCCTCTTCCTCAAGTGGGAAGGTCACTTTGGGGTCAAACCATCTTTCATTTTGAGACTCATGATTTTCTGAATTCCCATCCAACTAGACTCATTACTTGATCTGTAGCTTTTAATTAGTCCTGAGGAAGGAAGAGAAACATCCCAAGAAACCAAGAGCCAATGAATGGGAAGCAGGGGGTCAGTCTTTTCTGGAAATTCAGTCCCTGGTCTGGGATGGGAGGAGTAATTTCCATCTAGTAATGAGCTGGATCTAGGATCCATTCCCAAATTCTCTCCTTGTACCCTCAGTCCTGTTATCTTCCCTATCTCTGTTATCCTTCCTTCCTTTTTCTTCTAGTACTCAAGATTGAAATTGAACCCAGGGCCCAGGGACAATTTAACCACTAAGCTATATCCGCAGACCCTTTTCTTCTTCTTCTTCTTCTTCTTTTTTTTTTTTTTGTAGTGCTGGGGATTGAACCCAGGGCCTTGTGCATGAGAGGCAAGCACTTTGTCAACTGAGCTACATCCCCAGCCCTATAATTTTTTTTTAACTTTATTTATTTGTTTATTTTATGTGGTGCTGAGAATCAAACCTAGTGCCTCACATGTACTAGGCAAGTGCTCTATCATTGAGCCACAACCCCTTTCCCTTTTCATTCTTTTATTTCTTTTTTGTACAGTGCTAAGGATTGATCCAGGGATTTGCACACGCTAGGCAAGTTCTGTATCACTGAACTGCACACTCAGCATGTTTTTTTTTTAATTTTCTGCCACCACCTCCCAGCAGAACCAGAGAACAGAAATACAAAACAAACTTCACTTTTGGTTTAAAATTTTTTTAACAATAAAATTATATTATTTTAAAAAATAATTTAATCTGGTGGACTAGACCTCGGACATTTAACATGGTGGTCTCTGATGAGTGGGATTAATGGAGCCTATCATTTTTTTACATTCCAACCCCAGCCCTCAGGCAACATTTTATTCATTTCTCTCTCTCTCTCTCTCTCTCTCTCTCTCTCTCTCTTTCTCTCTCTCTCTTTTTGCAACACAATATTCTCATCAATGACAGACCACATATATGACAAGGGTCCCCTGAGACTATATCACCTAGAAACATTGTATCATTGTACCCATACTATCTTGTTTAAATTCTGTGATGTTCACAAACACAATGATGAGATCAGCTACCAACACGTCTGCACTAATACTAAAGAACAATTCCCATTGTTAAGCAACACATAACACATATTTGAATATGCTTATATTTATGCTATATCATATATCTATATAGATATATACATTTAAAAAATTTTTTTAGTTGTTGATGAACCTTTATTTTATTTGTTTTGTTTATATGTGGTACTGAGAATTTAACCTAGTGCTTCCACCACTGAGCCACAACCCCAGCCCTAGATATATACATTTTTATATATTAACTTACTTATATTAAATATATATTTCTGTGTTGCTTCTTCTTTTTTTTTTTTTTTTGATACTGGGGTTCTGGAGATTGAATCCAGGAGTGCCTTACTACTGAGATTATCCCTAGTCATTTTTATTTCATTTTTTAAAATTTTGAGACAGCATCTTACTAAGTTGCCCAAATAGCTGAGATTATAGGCATGCACTACCACACACAGCTCTGTGCTCTCTCTATAAATTTGGGAGTCAGATGAGGGATTAAATTATGTGACTCCAGTTCATATCAGGCAACATTTTTTAAAAAATAATTATTTTGGGGGTATATGGACACACACAAAGCATTTTTTAGTTTTTGTTATGTGGTGCTGAGGATCAAACTCGGGTCCCACCTGTGCTAGGCGAGCGCTCTACCGCTGAGCCACAATCCCAGCCCCGCAACATTTTTTTAAAAATACTTATTTTTTAGTTGTAGTTGGACACAATATTTTATTTATTTATTTTTTATATGGTGCTGAGGGTGGAACCCAAGGTCTCACGAGCCAAAACGCCAGCCCTCTGGCAACATTTTATTCATTTATCCATCTCTCTCTTGCTCGCGGTCTCTCTCTCTCTCTCTCTCTGGCCCTGGGGATGGAACCCAAGACCTCACACATCCTGGACAAGCACTCCCACTAAGCTACACTTCCAGCCTGTTCTCTTGATAACTTCCTACTTGTCATAAGTGGAAGAGGAATAAAAAAGCATAAATTTGGGTCTGTGGATATAGCTCAGTTGGTGGAGTGCTTGCTTTGCAAGTACAAGGCCCTGGGGTCAATCCCCAGCACCACCAAAAAAAAAAAAAAAAAAGGAAGAAAAAAGCATAAATTCTCTGCCCTTGAGTTTATTTTGAGACAAGTTCTTATTATGTTGCTCAAGTGGTCTTGAATTTTTGGTTTCAAGCAATCATCTTGCCTCTGACTACAGAGTAGCAGGCACTAGTTGGCTGGCAGCCCACATCTGTAGTCCCAGGGCTTGAGGGGTTAAGGCAGGAGGATTGCAAGTTCAAAGCCAGCCTCAGCAACTTAATAAGGCCCTAGGTAACTTAGCAAGATCTGTCTCAAAAAGAAAAAAAAATAATAAAAAAGTGCTGAGGATGTGGCTTAGGGATTGAGCACCCCTGGGTTCAATCCCTGGTACCAAAAAACAAAAGCCAACACAAAACAAACAGAGCAGCCAAGACTAAAGGTGCACACCATCCTGTCCATAACTTGAATTTAAAATCAAATAGGTATAATAAGCACATCAGAAAAAGAGACCTAGAACACTCAATAAAGCATATGTAAAGCTGGGCATGGTGGCACATGCCTGTAGAACAGTTCAGGAGGCTGAGGCAGGAAGATCTGAGTTCAAAGCCAGTGAGGTGCTTAGCAACTCAGTGAGACCCTGTCTCTAAATAAAATACAAAATAGGGCTGGGGCCTGGCTCAGTGGTTAAAAAATATGTAAATGAGAATGATGTATTGAGAAAAATACTGTATTCATTGGTCAAAAAAATTATAAACAATAAAACAAAATTTATGAACACTTCCTCCCTTCTGGGTCCCTTGCACTACAGGATATATACCTGAAATGTTTGTAATGCACATTTAGCACCTGCATAAATAGTACATTACAATACTGAGTTATTGTTCTTTTAAAAAGTCTTCCTTGCCAGATTCTCAGTTTCATAATGATAGAGAAGGATGATTTATCCAGCAGAGTACATCAAGGAAAAGCTAATTGGAAAGCTTGGAGGAAGTAGGAAAGAGAAGCAGCTCCTGCTCAATCTGTATATTTGGGGAATGGTTAGTACTATTAAAGACTATGAAAGAGCTGAAAGCAGTGGTGCATGCCAACTTCTCAGAAGGCTGAGGCAGGAGGATGGCAAGTTACAGTCTGCAAAATTTAATGAGACCCTGTCTTGAAATAAAGGGCAGCGCTGGGGGTTGGGGTGTGGAAGGTGTGGGGAGTGGTGACATAGGTTAATGGTGGAATACCACTGGGTACAATTCCAAATACAAGGAAAAACAAAACAACTGGGATGAAAGATTCCGGTGAATGAGGTGTTCTTCACCTCATTCACAACCTCTTCCCAACCCTACCCTTTATCCTATATCAAAGAGCACTAGATCCTATATTCCTCATTCAATCGACAGAAGTAATAAGGCTGGAAGGCAGCGAGAACGGGCACTAGCGCTGGAGGTCATTATAGTACTCATTTCTTTGACCCCCTAATACTGTATTTATAAAGGATTTCGTAGAAGGTTACACCCCCTTGTTTTCCTAGTAACCAAATGGCGTGAATTTCTAAACAAGTTTTTTGTTGTAATCTAATCTAATTCCCTTCTCTTAAAATTCAAACACCTGCCGCAGCTCAGAACTAAAGCGAGAAAGTGGAGAAGATCTGGCCTTCCCTATAGCGACGAAGTGGGCAATAACTGAGGAACTCAGCCCTGACTGGGAAAAAAGGGGTGACACGCGCCCCCAAGAGGCCTTCCTTCTCAAAGATGCAGTCCACGACGCCGGCTGGAGTCACGTGACGGACCGCGGGGCGGGTAAACTACAACTCCCAGAACGCCTCGCGGCCCGTCGGCGTTAGGCGCTCTTGCTGATTGGCCGCTGGAGATATTTGAAAGGAGGGGCTGGCGCGGAAAGCGAAGATTATTTTAGAGATCCTTGTGGAGCACTGATCTGGAAGTGAGTCCTAGAAGGAGTTATTTTGGGTGCGGTAAGGCTTGGAGGGGCTCGGGAACGTGTGTTCGCGCCAAGTTGTATGGGTTTCCCAGCCCTGACTTTGGGGAGAGGCGCCGGCAGCTCTTCGAAAGTTTGGGACGTCCTGATGGGCGCCATTGAATTTGGTGGAGGCCTAAGGCGTCGAATGGCGGAGTAGTGAGGACGCGGATCGGCCTGAAGAAAGGGAGAGAGGAAGCCTGGCGTCCTGGCATCGTTTTTTCCGGAAAGGATTTTTTTTCTTTTACTACTGGGATTGAGCCCAGAGCCTCGTGCATACTAGGCAAGCACCCTACCACTGAGCTACACCCCCAGCTCTTTTTATTTTATTTTGAGACAGGGTGTCACTAAATTGTGCAGGCTGGCCCTGAACTCGCAAATCTCCTGCCTCAGCTTCCCGAGTAGCTGGGATTACAGGGGTGTGCCACCAAGCCCAGCTTTCCTGCTAGGATTTCTTATGGAACCTTTGCCTAATATCTGCCACTGCCTTCAAGTCCTCTTTGTTAGCTCCATTCCAAATCTTTTCTGCCATTTCTAATCTGTTTTCTTTTCCGTAGCTTTCCGCACCATGAGGAACTTAAAAGGAGTCAACTTTGGGACTCTGCTAAGCAACCAGAAGAAGGCTGAAGAGTTGCTGCCTGACTTGAAGGTGGGGGTGTTGTCTAGCTCAGGACACACCTGGCTTCCCAAGCTCAGCTGTTTTGTGTTTTGCCTTATTTTGAAGAGATGGATAAGTAGAGGACCTTCTCTGGAGCAAACTCATTCTTAGTTCTTTTCCCTACCTCTTTCTCATCTTTCCTAGCCTCATGCATCTTTCTTTTCTCCTAGGAGTTCCTGTCCAAGCCACTAGCTGGTCTTCCTAGCAACCGATCTGATGCTGAGAAGAGACAGATTTGTGATGCCATCCTGAGGGCTTGCAACCAGCAGCTGACTGCCAAGCTAGCTTGCTCTGGGCACCTGGAGAGCCTGCTGGAGCTGGCAAAGCTGGCCTGTGATGGCTACTTGATGTCCACCCCCCAGCGTCCTCCCCTCTACCTGGAACGCATTCTCTTCATCTTACTGCGGAATGTTGCTTCTCAGAGAAGCCCAGAGGCTATGCTTCACCTTGCCCAGCCCCTCCATGCTTGCTTGGTGCAGTGCTCTCGACAAGCTGCACCCCAGGATTATGAGGCCGTAACTCGGGGCAGCTTTTCTCTGCTTTGGAAAGGAGCAGAATCACTGTTAGAGCGGCGAGCTGCATTCTCAGCTCGGCTGAAGGCCTTGAGCTTCTTAGTACTCTTAGAAGATGAAAGTACTCCCTGTGAGGTTCCCCACTTTGCCTCTCCAACAGCTTGTCGAGTGGTTGCTGCCCATCAGCTATTTGATGCTAGTGGGCATGGTCTAGATGAAGCAGATGCTGATTTTTTAGATGACATGCTCTCCAGACTTGTGATTGGAGTCTTGATCAATCAAGAAAGTGGCTCTCATGGCCCTCTTTCGCCTCAGAGGGCCCTCTGCCTTTTGGAGCTCACCTTGGAACACTGCCGTCGCCTCTGCTGGAGCCATCACCATGAAAAGGCCACTGGTGCAGTGGAGAAGGCTCATGAATACCTAAGGAATACCAATCTAGCCCCCAGCCTCCAGCTATGCCAGTTGGGTGTTGAACTGCTGAAAATTGGGGAGGAAGAATCTCAGGCTGTGGCCCCGCTTCTGACAAAGGCATCAGCTGTCCTGAACCATGGTATGGGGATGCCATCACCTCCTCTCCGGGCATTGTATGACACCTGCCAGTTCTTCCTTTCAGGCCTGGAGCGAAGCATCAAGAAGCGCTATGGACTGGATGCTATTCTGAGCCTCTTTGATTTTCTTGGAGGGTATTGCTCTCTTATCCGGCAATTGCGGGATGGGGTGAGTTAAGGACCTGGAGGTAGGGCGGGATGTGGATCTGTGAACTTAATACAAGTCTAGAGTCTGGCAAGATCTGGCTCCTCTTTGTTAAACTGCTCTCTGGATTATGCCTGGCATGCAGCCTAATCTATCCTAAGAGGTTTATGGCCCCTCCCAATGTCCTTCCTCCTCCCTGAGAGCTGTGTCAACTCTCTAGAACTCTGGGGAGTCTTCAGCTTGAAACTTACTTCATCTCTGCTCCTAAAACCCACCTTCCCCTTCTTTCCTTAGGTCCATGGGGACTGTACCAAGCAGCAGCAGTCTTTGCTTCAGATGCACTTTCAGGGTATTCACCTCTACACTGTGATGGTTTATGACTTTGCTCAAGGCTGTCAGGTACCATCTGGGAATGAAGGAATCTGAACAGGGGCTTATGGTCTTGGGTTGCTCTTCGGGAGAGCTCTGGGGTGGTGTTTTGGCTTTGAGTGTGGAGTGGGGTGAAAATCACCTTGGACCTGGCATGACTCCTCTCACCCTCAAGCCCCTTCTTGTCACTTTAGGTAGCTGATTTGGCTGATTTGGCCCATCTAGTGGAGAGTTGCAAATCTACTGTTGTCTGGATGCTGGAGGCCTTAGAAGGTCTGTCAGGCCGAGAGCTGACTGACTACCTGGCGATGACTGGTTAGTGCCCTGGGCCCAGATACAGGGTTCTTGGGAGGGTCATCACTCCTTAGGCAGATGAATAGTACTTGATGGATCATTCTGGCCACTGAGGGGGCTCTTTGTGTCTTAAGGAGGCAGTAAAAGAGGTGTTTATAAAGGTCAGTTGCTTTTTATACTAGTGAGGAGGCTAAAGAACAGGCATTAATTTTTTTTTTCCTCCCCTCATTGACTTCGAAATTTGATTTGGTGTTTATTTTGGGAAAAATATGCTGAGGCTGAGACAGGAGGATTGCAAATTCAAAGCCAGCCTCTGCAACTTAGTAAGACCCTGTCTTAAAATTAAAAATAAATATGACTGGGAATATTGCTCAGTGGTTAATCACTCCTGGGTTCCATCCCTGGTACCAAAAAAAAAAAGAAAAGTTTGTATGTGCCATGCAACCTTATGACCTTTGTATTTAAATTTTAAAGAACATTTCTACTGTTGGTAGTGACTCACACCTGGAAACCCAGCAACTTTGGAGGCTAAGGCAGGAGATTGCAAGTTCAAGGCCAGCCTCAGCAATTTGGCAAAACTCCCATTTCAAAATTAAAAATAAAAAGAGCTGGGGGTGTATTTCAGTGGTAGAGTGCCACTGGGTTTAATTCCCCTGTAGCAACAAACAAAAAATAAATAAATAAAAAGAATTGAGGATGTAGTCCAGTAGTAAAGTGCTCCTAGGTTTAATTCCCAGTAACAAAAATAATAATAATTGAATTATCAATACGTTAAAATGTAATAAAAAATATAGGAGGAGGGATAACTGGGTGCAATGGTACATGCCTGTATCCCAGCTACTTGGAAAGCTGAAGCAGGAGGATTGTGAGTTCAAGACCAGCTCGGCAATATAACAAGGCTCTAAGTAACTTAGGGAGATCCTGTCTGAAAATTAAAATAAATAAATAAATAAAAAGGGCTGGGGATATAGCTTAGTGGTAAAGTACCCCTGAGTTCAATCCATAGTACCTGCTCCCCTCACCCCCAGAAAAATATCCCAGCTACTTGGGACAATGAAATAGAAGGCTCACAAGCTTAAGCCTACCTTGGGCAACTTAATGAGATCCTTTCTCAAAATATTTTTTAAAAGGGACTAGAGATGTAGCTTAATGGAAAAACACTTGTCTAGCATGCATGAGAATCTGAACTCAATCCCCAGTACTTCATTTAAAAAAAAAAAAAAGCGTGGTGTGGGGGAAGTAAAGCAGGATTAGAAACGGATTTAGGAGTTCATGGGTGAGGGGGCAAGTTACCATCTGAAGTCAGAGATTCTGGGCAGGTCTCATACAAAGAGCCATGTGAGCAAAGACTTGGAAGAAGGAAGGGAGATAGCCATGTTGATAGCTGGGAAAGAACATCTCTGCCAAAGGAAGCAGAGCCAAGTCCCTGAGGCAGAAGGGGTGTATTTGAAGAATATCAAGGAAGTTTGTGTGGCTTTGGTGGAGTGAGAGAAGGAGAAGGTGAGAGACAAACCAGAATGTTTCCCCTTAAATGCTGATCTGGGAGCATGGAGTGAGACTGGCATGTGAGGAGAGATTGGTCTTCTGTGGAAATGAGGACTCAGCCCTAGTAAAACAAGAATGAAAGGGTGTGGGTTCACTTAATTGGAATGGAGGGCAGAGGGTGACTTGGAGTAGGTTGGGGGCCTGCCCTTCTCTCATTCCCTAGTGATAGGGGTGCCTGTCTGATCTGGAAGCTGCAGTGCTGACACCAAGTTGAACTTCTCTTTACCTCTCCAGCAAGACAGGGCAGTGGGAATCATTCCTGTGGTAAACTGTCTTTTCTCCTGCAGCCTCCTACACCAGTAACTTGGCCTACAGCTTCTATAGTCACAAGCTGTATGCTGAGGCCTGTGTTGTCTCTGAACCATTCTGTCAGCAGCTGGGTTTGGCAAAGCCAGGCACGTATCCTGAGGTGCCTCCTGAGAAGGTAAGAGGGAATAAGAAGGGCAGGAAGGGAGGTTATGTAGTAGGGGCTTGAGTAATGTCAAAGGGTGGGATGGGACCCTGCCTTGAAGTAGGGGGTTTAGGAGCTACATGTTTGTAGCATGGGGCAGTACTTCCCAAATCTCACTTGTTCCGTTATTTCATTTTTTTCTTTAGATTAATTGACTTTTTATATTTAGTCTTGTCTTAAGCTGGTGGTTCATAACCTGGCTGCATTAAATCACCTCAGTGAATTTTTTTTTTTTCTTTTTGGTGATACTGAGGAGTGAACCCAAGAGTGTTCTACTGCTGAGCTACATCCCCAGCCCTTTTTATTTTTTAAGACATGATCTTGCTAAGTTGCCAAGGTTTGTCCTCAAACTTGTGATCTCGTGCCTCAACCTCCCAAGTCACTAGGATTATGGGTGTGCACCAGTGTGCTCAACTCTGAGTGAACTTTAAAAATTTCTCATTCCTGCTGGGCAGGATGGTGTGTGCCTGTAGTCCCAGTGACTCAGGAGGCTGAGGCAAGAGGATCATAAGTTTGAGGCCAGCCTTGGCAACTTAGGCCCAGTCTCAAAAAATAGGGGAGGGGCTAAAGATGTAACTCAGTGGTAGAGTACCCCTAGGTTCAATTTTCAATCTAAATAAATAAATAAATCCTGCCCCAAGTTAATTGCATCAAAATTTCTAGCACTGGACCTTAGGCATCTACATATTTTAAAAGCTTTCTCCAAGATGGTCCTTTGCACCAATGTCTTAAACAAGAATACCTGTGAAATGGTAAGTTGGCTGGATAGGCAAGTGTGGTAAAGGACTTTGGGTTTCATGTCAAGTGAGGCAATGAGTGTCTAAAGGATTTAAGTGGAGGCCCTACATTAGATTCCCATTTAAATTGCTCTGGCATCCCTGTGGCAAAACTGGGTAATCAGGCTGCTATTGCAACCTAGGCAGGAAAGGGTGGCTTGAGCTGAACCAGCTGTGCAAGGGATGAAAAGAAGCAGATGGGTATAAAAAGTTAAGGTTTAACCTGATAAGTGACTGGCTGGGAAGGAGAAAAGAGAAGGAAGAGCTAGGATGGCCTTGCATTTCTGACTCAGCACAAGGCAGTTCCAGTTGCTGAGGGAGGATTACAGGAGGAAAAACAGGTCTTCAAGGATGTGGGTGATGACTATAGGGAAGGTTGGGATGGAAACCTATCAGTCTGAGATGACCAAGGTGTTTACTTCTCAGATATCTTCTGATGAGGGTGGGAGTGGAGCAGGAGGACCACCTGCCAATCCCCATCACGGGGTGCATGTGATTATAAACATATCCTCCCACTGCACACATTCACCTGTTCCTCCCTCCAGCTTGGTCTATCCCTGTCTCCTGTCAGTTGCATAGGTGCTTCCTGCTGCATGTAGAGAGTTTGAAGAAAATGGGCAAACAGGCCCAGGGCTGCAAGATGGTGACCTTATGGCTGGCAGCTTTGCAGTCCTACAGCCTAGAACACATGACTGAGCCAGTCACTTTCTGGGTTCGAGTCAAGATGGATGCTGCCAAGGCTGGAGACAAGGAACTACAACTAAAGTGAGTTGCTCCATGGATCGGGTGGCTTTTTGTACTCATAATTTTTTTTTTTTTAAATATTTATTTATTTATTTATTTTGGTTTTTGGCGGACACAACGTCTTTTTTGGTATGTGGTGCTGAGGATTGAACCCGGGCCGCACGCATGCCAGGCGAGCGCGCTACCACTTGAGCCACATCCCCAGCCCCTTGTACTCATAATTGTGTCCCTTAATCCTTATATCTGAGAAAGGCAGTGATTCCTTTATTAGTTATGCATTGAGTGCCTACTGTGTGTCAGCCACTATCTTACATACTTGGGGTATAGTGGTATATTTGTGGAGTTTATATTCTCCTTGCAGAAATATAAAAAGCAAGTATATTTCATATGTTTCATGAAGACAAACTGATTTGCTAAAAGAGGGAGCAACTTTTTTTTTGTTTTCTATTGGGGAATTGAACCCAGGTGTGTTTAACCACTGGGCCACATCGCCAGCCCTTTATTCTTTTATTTTGAGGCAGGGTCTTGCTAAGTCACTGAGGTTGGCCTTGAACTTGCAATCTTTCTGCCTCAGCTTCCCAAATCTCTGGGATTAGAGGCATACTCTTCCATGCCTGGCAAGGGAACAACTGTAGATGAGCCTTTTTGAAGAAGTGTAAATGAGACCTGAGGATGTGGAGGAATCTACTATTTAAAGATTTCAGGCTGGGGTTGTGGCTCAACGGTAGCGCACTCACCTAGCGCGTGAGAGGCCCTGGGTTCAATCTTCAGCACCACATAAAAATAAATAAATAAATAAAACAGAGGTATTGTGTACAACTAAAATAAATAAATATATATATTTAAAAAAAAAGATCTCAGGCCGGGTACAGTAGTAGCATACGTCTGTAATCCTAGTACCTCAGAAGACTGAGGTAGGAAGATCACACGTTTGAGACCAGCCTCAGCAACTTAGCAAGGTCCTTAGCAATTTAGCAAGACCCTTTCTCAAAATAAAAATAATAAATAAAAAGAGCTGGGGATGTGGCTCAGTGGTTAAGCACCCCTGGGTTCAATTACTGGTAACAAAAAAAAAGAAAAAAAGAAATCTCGGGGAAGAGAATTCCTTTTAGAGAAAGTAGTAAATACAAAGGCTCCAAGGTGAGAACAAGCTTGGGAACAGCTTGAGAAAGCCCGCATGTTGGAAGATTGTGGCATGGGGTATAGGGTAGGAACCATATGGAATGAGGTGGTCAAGGTGGGCAAAGGCAGAAACACATAGGGCTTTATAGGTCATGGGTAAAGATTTGGATGTGATTCTTAGTGGCAGCCCACTGCAGTATATTAAATAAAGGAGAAATGCTATCCGATTTAGAGTTTTAAAGCCACAAATAAGCTTAGAGAAGTCTAAGCCAAAACTGGGACTCCTTGCTATTGGTGCAGAGTTTTCATGCTTTCCAGAATCTTCTCTAGTGCTAAACCTGCCCTTTCTCAGGACTCTGCGAGACAGCCTAAATGGCTGGGACCCGGAGACCCTGGCCCTCCTGCTGAAGGAAGAGCTGCAGGCCTATAAGGCAGTACGGGCTGATACTGGACAGGAACGCTTCAATGTCATCTGTGACCTGCTGGAGCTGAGTCCTGAGGAGACACCGGCTGGGGCATGGGCACGAGCCACTCACCTGGTGGAACTGGCTCAGGTGCTATGTTACCATGACTTTGCCCAGCAGACTGACTGGTGAGAAGGAATAACTGGTGAAGCCACTCTTGCTCCTTGTCTTGGTCCTCTTATTCTCTTTAGGGTCCGTTTTCCTCTCTGTGTTGCTTAGTGTCCTCTCATTTTGTGGCCATGGAAGCTCATTCAAATGATTCCAGCTATTGCTGCTGTAGAACAGGCCCTTTCCAGGGTGCTGTGGTCAGTACTTATTGTGGGCTCAGCCTAAGTACATCTTCTTACAGCTCTGCCCTAGATGCTATCCAGGAAGCCCTGCAGCTCCTAGAGTCTGTGAAGCCCAAGGTGCATGCCAAAGATCAACTTCTGGATGATAAAGCACAGGCCTTGCTGTGGTTCTACATCTGTACCTTGGAGGCCAAAATGCGGGAAGTAAGTGAGGTTGAACAGAATTGTGTGTGGGAATCATTTGCCCTGGGCTCCCAGTAAGCTGGTACCAGCCCTGTTTTTACCTTGATCTACCCATCCAGGGTATTGAGCGGGATCGAAGAGCCCAGGCTCCCAGTAATCTGGAAGAATTTGAAGTCAATGACCTGAACTATGAAGATAAACTCCAAGAAAATCGTTTCCTGTACAGTAACATTGCCTTCAACCTGGCTGCAGATGCAGGTGAGGGCAGTAAACACAGTGTGGCATGGACATCTCCTATATGGTTTCTTTAAAGCAGAATAAGGACTCCCTAGTATGGGAGATGCTGGCCTTGTTGTGGGAAGGTGGGTGGTAAGGTAGGGAGGCAGAGGTTTAAGGATAGAGAGAAATAAGGGCAGAGGATGTTATGAAGAAAGCCATATTCTCTGAGATGGCCCATGCACTGAAGGTGGTCACTTTCTTCCGAATTATAGCTCAGTCCAAATGCCTGGACCAAGCCCTGGCCTTGTGGAAGGAGTTGCTTACACAGGGGCAGGCCCCAGCTGTGCGATGTCTCCAGCAGACAGCAGCCTCACTGCAGATCTTAGTGGCCCTCTATCAGCTGGTGGCAAAGGTAATGAATGGGACAGGGCATTGATGGAAGCACTTGAAACAAGGGTAAGTCAGAAACTGAGCTTCTTGGGCCTGTGAACCTGCTAAGAATCATTGCACATAAAAGAGCTTTGTTAACTAAGAGCTTTCAGCCATTTTTAGCACAGGGAAGGGTAACTCAGCCCTAAATTTGAATCTGGGCTCTACCACATATTTGTTAGGTGTGTTAACTTAGACAAGCAACTTAACCTATGTGAGTCTTAGTTTCCTGTGCTGTAACATTGGGTTTAGAAGGTGCTATGAAGATTGAATGAGTCAATGCATGTAAACATCTTGGTACGGGTGCCTGGCACATAATAAGCACTCAGTAAGTCCTGGCTATTGCTGGTGATTGGAATGTAGGCTTTAAATCAAAAGAAGTAGGGTGGTTTGCAGGATCCCCAAGGATGACTCATGGTTCTCTATGTGTAGCCACATTCTATCCAGGCCCCAAAGTCAGATTGCTGCCCAAGGTCCCAGTGGGTCAGGGAATGGAAGGTAGAAATGGAAGCTTTCATGGCAGCAGAGTCAACTTGCTATTTCTGGTTGCCCAGCCTCTGCAGGCTCTGGAGGCTCTCCTGCTTCTTCGGATTGTTTCTGAGAGACTAGAGGACCATACAAAGGCAGCTGGCTTCTCCTGCCACCTCGCCCAGCTCCTTCTGAGCCTCGGCTGTCCCAGCTATGCCCAGGTGAGTACCAGTCATTCCAAGTCTAGAGGCTATAGGTGACACATGGCTTTGCAAGCCCATCTTTTCCCTGAGAAGATAGGATACTGAAGAAGCAGCTTCTCCCCCTTGTACCCCATTGTTGGACTGCTGTAGACTGTGGAGTGTTGAGAGGTGACTATGGGGAGAAGCAGTTTTTTTACTTCTTAGTAAAAGGACTGATTGATCATAGGTCTTAACTATGGCTCCAGGAAGCTGCCCATCCTGCATTTCCCAAATTGTTTCCTTTGCCCTAGTTGGTGCTTCATCCATCCTGGTTAGCTGTCACAATGTCTCCTAGTTGGTCTTTCTTTCTGTTTTTTTTTTTAGAGAGAGAGAGAGAGAATTTTATTATTTATTTTTTAGTTTTTTCGGCTGACACAACATCGTTGTTTGTATGTGGTGCTGAGGATCGAACTCGGGCCACACGCATGCCAGGCGAGCGCGCTACCACTTGAGCCACATCCCCAGCCCTCCTAGTTGGTCTTTCTTGTCTTCAGTTTCTCTTTATTTTTTCTTATTTATTTATTTATTTATTTATTGTGCTAGGGATGGAACCCAGGGCCTTGCACATGGCTAGGCAAGAGCTCTGCCATTGAGCTACATCCCTAGCCATTTCTCCTTTTGCAACTTGATCTTCTACCACTAGTAGGAATTGGTCTGATCTTATGTCTTTCTTGCTGAAAAGATTTTCATGGCTTTTCTGTTACCTAAAGAATACTATCCAGACTCTACTGCAGATCTTTTTTTTTGGGAAAGGAGTACTGGGGATTGAACTCGGTGCTCTACCACCATGCTACTCCCAGCCCTTATTTTTTTGAGACAGAATCTCACTAAGTTATTGAGGTTGTTACTAAGTTGGCCTTGAACTTGTTATCCTATCTCAGCCTTCTGAAAAACTGTGATTACAGGTACCACACCCAGCTCTATTGTAGTTTTTTCTGTTCTAGTTCATGCTTTTTCTTCCACCTCCTCCCATGAATCTTTTGCCAATACTTGTTACTTTATGTTTATTGTTTGTCCCTCTATCTTCAGTTATGTTGATTTCTCCACCTGAAATGCACCTCTTTCCTCAACCTTCCTTTTTTGATTCAGTGAACTTCAACTTTTTTTTAAATAATGTTGTAGATCAGTTGTCACCTTCTTCATAAAATCTTTTTTTTAAGTACTAGGAATTGAAGTGCTTTATCACTGAACTATATCTCCCACCTTTCTTGTATTTTATATTGAAACAGGATTTCCCAAAGTTGCTGAGGCTGGTCACAAACTTATAATCCTCTTGCCTCAGCCCCCAACTAGTAACTAAGATTACAGATAAAGCATTTTATACATCTATTTCTTAAAGGACAGAATCAATCATTTTCCTGGGTCTTCCTGCCATTGAATAGCACTCATGGCATTTTTTCAAGATTATATACATATGCCTGTTTCCCCACTCCTTTTTAGCTATTAGATGACGAGAAAAGTTATTAAGAAGGTTCTGGGGGCTGGAGATGTGGCTCAGCGGTAGTGCGCTCGCCTGGCATGCGTGCRGCCCGGGTTCGATCCTCAGCACCACATACCAACAAAGATGTTGTGTCTGCCGAGAACTAAAAAATAAATATTAAAAATTCTCTCTCTCTATCTCTCTCTCTCTCTCCTCTCTCACTCTCTCTAAAAAAAAAAAAAAAAAAAAAAAAAGGTTCTGTACATTTTTTCCATCTAATAGGAGGAAACATAAACTTGTATTTATTTGCTTCTTTCCTTTAAAAAGAATTTTCTAGCATGGTAATCAACTGTTAGATGAAAATTTCAATGAGCAAACAATTTTTAAGAAGATGGTAACAGGGTGGTGGTTGTGACTCAGAGGCAGAGCACTCACCACGTGTGGGGCCCTGGGTTCAATCCTCAGCACCACATAAAAATGAATAAATAAAATAAAGGTATTGTATCCAACTACAACTAAAAAACAAATTTTAAAAAAAGAAGACTATAACATGTGAAATAATGTAATATTCAATTGGCTTTGTAAACAAGCTTTTTCTTGTGAATGCTTTACTTCACTTTAGTTTGAAGAAACTAGCTTCTTCAAAGAACCTAGTTTCCTCACTAGCATGTTCACATACCCTCTGACTGCTTCTTTAGGTGTACCTGGAAGAGGTGGAATCAAATCTGAAGCATCTTGATCAGACCACTGACACATACATGCTCCTTTCCCTCACCTGTGATCTACTTCAAAGTCACCTCTGCTGGACTCACCAGAAGGTATATTTTCTTTTTTCTAGTGGTGGGGATCAAAACCAGGGCCTTGCACATGCTAGGCAAGCAGTCTACTTCTAAACAACACCCCCAGCCCCATATCTCACTTTCTTAAAAGCCCCAGAGGTCCTGAGTATTACAAGGATTTTAGGATTTTCAGGATATTTGGGTTCTGAGATTTCCCTGGAGCTAGGCAATATGCTGCTGACCTGGAGAAGCAGAAGTTTCCTAGCCTTGCCCTTGTTTGTCTTTTCTAGTTAAAATATTATCTTTTTCATTGGTTTGCAGTTTTTAGAGTGATGAGGGGGATTAGAAACTGGGAAAAGAGTGGTCCTGGGAAGGTACCAAAGCCCTATACTAGAAAGCCAATGGAATCCAAAACACCTGAGTTTTCTCCCAAACTAGCTGTGTGTTTGTCAAGTCTTGTACCCTCTCAGGCTTTAGTTGTTTTTGTTGTTGTTTCTGGCGTGTGTGTGTGTGTAGGGGGGGTACCTGGGATTGAACTCAGGGACACTACCACTGACCCACATCCCCAGCCCTGTTTTGTTTTTTTATTTAGAGACAGGGTCTCATTGAATTGCTTAGCACCTTGCTGTTGCTGAGGCCTAGTTTTTCTTTATCTTTTTTTTTTTTTTTTTTTTTTTTGTGATGCTTGGGATTGAACTCAGGACTTTGTGCATGCAAGGCAACCACTCTACCAACTGAGCTATATCCCCAGCCTCGATTTTTCTTTTTTTTCCATTTTTAAATTGAGAGGATTGGCTTGGCGTGGTGGCACAGTCATATAATCCCAGCAACTTGAGAGGCTAAGACAGAAGGATTGCAAGTTCAAGGCCAGCTTTAGCAACTTAGCAAGACCCTCTCTCAGAATAAAAAATGAAAAGGACTATGGGCTGGGGCTGGGGCTCAGTGGTAGCACACTTGCCTGGCAAGTGTGAGGCACTGGGTTAGATTCTCAGCACCATATATAAATAAATAAAATAAAGGTCTGTCAACAACTAAAAAAGAAAGAAAAGGACTAGGGATATAACTTAGTGGTAGAGTGTCCCAGGTTCAGTCTCCAGTACCAAAGTGGGGTGGGAGGGAAGCAGGGAATTGGGCCACATGACCTGCAAAGGGATCCCAAGCTCCAAAATCCATATCTGACTGCTCTCCTTTGGCCCACTCAGGTGGATGAGGGCGTCTCTCTATTGCTGTCTGTCCTTCGGAATCCTGCCCTCCAGAAGTCATCCAAGGCTTGGTACTTGCTGCGCGTCCAAGCCCTGCAACTGCTGGCTCTCTACCTTAGCCTCTCATCAAACAGCCTCTCAGATGCCCTGCGGGAGCAGCTCTGGGCACAAGGTGAAATAGTAGAGCAGATGGCCCTTCTTGGATAGGCATAGTTTGTCTATTATCAGCTTTTTTCAGCCCTTGTTCCCTCTGCTGTCCAACCATATGCAGCAGCCTACCTTGGATCTACACAGAATAGACCTGGAATAGCAAATGAGTTTTGCTTCACCTGGTGCCTCTTATTTATTAAGTAGGGACTATTTGGAATACTAAACTAGAGAGAATTCTGTGATCCCATGGGATCTTAGAGGGAAAGAATTCTATGATTAACTAGCTCTGTCTTCCTTGGGTGAAGAAGGAAAAGAGCAGTAGCATGCTTTGCTATCGTACTGGTTGAATGTGGCAGAGTGCTGGACACAATACTACAATACTTTCCTCCGTTTTCCACTCTACCCACCACAGGCTGGCAGACACCTGAGACAGCACTCATAGACTCACATAAGCTCCTTCGAAGCATCATCATCCTGCTTCTGGGTAGTGATGTACTCTCTATTCAAAAAACACCCGTGGAGACATCGTTTCTGGACTATGGTGAGTGAGGAAGAGAGCAGGGCCCTGTGGAAATAGATGGGCCAGATAGTGGGGCTGGCAGTTTTGTCTCCTTAGGATCCAGATTGTGGCTGAGTGTTAAGGTCTTGACTCTTCCTTTACTACAGGTGAAAATCTGGTACAAAAATGGCAGGTTCTTACAGAGGTGCTGAGCTGCTTGGAGAAACTGGTCTGTCGCCTGGGCCACCTAGAGAGTGTGAACGAAGCCAAGGCCTTTTGTTTGGAGGCTCTGAAACTTACAACAAAGCTGCAGCTGCCTCGCCAGTGAGTGGGGTCCTAAGAAGATGCAAATTCTGCCCCTTAGTGCCATGCATTCCTGACCATGAATTCCCAAACTACTCTAAAAACTACATGATACATTTAGAGGGGTTAGTGATAGAAGGCATTCCATGGCTAAGTGGGAAATGCTGAGGTAATCATAGCTGGATGTTTTATTCCCTACAGGACTCTGCATCTCATTTAGGATGCTAATATGCCTTGTAAATCTCCAAAGGAAGTCTAGTAATGTTGCCTTCCCTAAGTTTAGTTGCCTATGGTATTGTTTTTTTTTTTTTTTTTTTTTTTTTTTTTTTTTTTTTTTTTTTTTTTTAGGAATACAGTTGAGAATCCTGTCCTAATGCACAAGGATGAGTTGGGATGAGATAGAAATATAGAGGGGTTTTCCCCAGGGAGTGTAGAAGTCAGCTTTAGGGAGTGTAGAAGGCCTCCTAGAGGCAGGGAAAGACAATGATGCTCTGCTTTGGAAAGGAGCAAGATTCCAGGAAACTAAGGCGTCCAGTCATGGGTTCTATCTCCTCTCCCAACAAGGTGTGCCCTGTTTCTGGTGCTGAAGGGTGAGCTGGAGCTGGCCCGCAGTGACATCGACCTCTGTCAGTCTGACCTGCAGCAGGTTCTGTTCCTGCTTGAGTCTTGCACAGGTGAGCAGTTGTGTGGTCTGCCTGTAGATGGTGGGTAGCACACAAGCTGTAACATGTCACCATGTAAAAAGGTTTAGTTCCCCCCAACATCTTTTTTTTTTTTTTGTACTGGGAATTAAACCCAGGGGTGCTTTACCACTGAGCTAAGTCCTCAGCCCTTTTTTAAACAGGGTCTTGTTAAGTTGTTGAAGGTCTCATTAAAGTGCTGAGGCTGGCTTTGAACCTGTGATCCTTCTGCCACAGCCTCCTGAGTCACTGGGATTACAAGCATGTGCTATTGCACCTGGCTTTTTTTCCTAGTTTTGTAATTCTTCTTCTGTTCTCTCCCTAGAGTTTAGTGGGGTGGCCCAGCATCCAGACTCTGTGAAGAAGGTCCACCTGCAGAAGGGGAAACAACAGGCCCAGGTCCCACATCCCCCACAGCTCCCGGAGGATGAACCCTTCCTCAAAGGCCCTGCTCTGGAGCTTGTGGCCACTGTGACTAAGGAGCCTGGCCCCAATGTACCTTCTACAAATTCCTCCCCAGTCCTGAAAACCAAGCCCCAGCCCAGCCCTGGCTTCCTGTCCCACTCACCCACCTGTGATTGTTCACTGTGTGCCAGCCCTGTCCTCTCTGTGGTCTGTCTGCGCTGGGTGTTGGTCACAGCGGGGCTGAAGCTGGCCATGGGTCATCAGGCCCAGGGTCTGGATCTGCTGCAGTTTGTGCTGAAGGGTTGCCCTGCAGCTGCCAAGCGTCTCAATCAAGCTCTCCAAGCTTTCCTGAGTCACAAAGTTCCCCCTACTTCCATCCCAAGCCTCTTGGATGAGATCTTGGCTCAGACATACACACAGCTGGCACTAGAGGGCTTGAGCCAGCCATCAAACAAGAGCCTGAGGAATGTCATAGAGTTGGGGCTGAAGTTCATGACAGCGCGAATACACCATTTGGAGCCTTGGAAAGCAAATCTGCTCTTGATTCAGGCCCTTTCGAACCTGGGTAGCCCCAGCTGCTGCACTACTCAACTTTTTGCAAGCTCTTGGGGATGGCAGCCACCATTAATAAAAAGTCCTCCAGGCCCAGAGCCCTCAAAGACTCGGAGCCAAAAGTGTTCAGGACGAGGGCGCCAGAAGATATCTTGTGCTCCCCTTTCCCTCCATAATACCTCTCAGAAAGGTCTGGAAGATGGAGGACCACCCTGTACACCTAAGCCTGCAGGCCACGTCAGGCCAGCTGGCCCTCGTGTTCCTGTTCCCTTCACTGTATTTGAAGAAGTCTGCCCTACAAAGAAGCCTGAGGTTCCCCAGGCACCCAGGGTACATCACAGGGTCCAGACACGCCTCAAGGTGAAGTGGGACTGTGATTAGGTTGTTTTGGGGGGGAGCAGTCCTGGAAGAGAGGGTTTTGCAAAGCAGTGTTCCTATAGAATAGCTCCCCAGGGCCTAGCAGGACCCTTTCATTTTTCATTATGCTTCCTTCCCTTTCTCATCCTTCCTCATCTTCTGTCCGCCCAGTTCCACCTTGAACCCTAGAAGTCATTGCCTGGATTAGGAGAGGCAGATGTAATATGGGAAGTCTTCCAAAGGCCTGGGTGATGGTGCCTCCTGGCATTCCACAGTGCCACCTGCTGTTAAAAGATGTTATTGAAAGCCCCTTGGCCTTTCTCCCTTTCCCTGATCCAGGTAAACTTCAGTGATGACAGTGACTTGGAAGACCCTGTTTCAACTGAAGCAAGGCTTGTGGAGGAACCTAAAAGATGGGGCACTGCTTCCCGGGGCCGAGGCCGGGCTAGGAAGGGCTCAAGCTTGAAGACAGATGCAGTGGTTGCCTCAAATAGTGTTCCTGGAAACCCTGGTCTGAACAGTAGGAGTCGGAGGGCCAAGAAGATGGCATCAAGACATTGTGAAGAACAGGATCCCCAGATGGCCCTTTATGGCCAGGCCAGGCAAGGTCCTGAGGTCATGAGGGCCATCCCTGAGGAGGAGCTGGATGACAATAGGATGGAAATGAGCTTTGAGACTCTTAGATGCTCAGATGGGGAAGACTCAGCCCCAGGTAAGATGGCAAGGCATGAGAGGTAGAGGGTGTGTGGGATTTTTGTTTTTTGTTTTGGGCAGGGAGAGATGTCCCTGGGGCCAAAGCAGTCTAGGAAGAAAAATTATTTTGTTGGCTCTCGGGCAAGACTGTAGCTCCAGGAAACAAAGAGGATGACAGGAGAAGGGACTCCATAAAAAAGGCATGCTCTCTTACCAGGTGGGAAAGCACCAGCTCCTGGCTCTGATGCAGCCGTAGGAGAATGTGAGGTGTTGAGACGAGATTCTAACAAGGAGGAGTTGCCCATGCCAGGCCCAAAGAAAGGGAACAACAGGGACTTCAGTCCTTGGCCCCAGCTCCCCTCAGAACCTGTAGCCATTGGTGAGTATACCAACCATTGAAGTTTGGTTACTTGGAGAGAGCTGAGCTTCTTGGTCCTTTGTTCTCTATGTCTTTCTATTCTGTCTTGTTTTGGTTTTGGATCCCCCCTGCACCCAGTTGAATCTCACCATTCTGTGTAGTAACTTGGTTGAATCTCACCATTCTGTGTAGTAACTTAACCTCTCTGAACATCTATTTCCTTCCCCGTCCAATGGGTCATAGGGAGGACTGAATGAGTTGATGCCTGCTAATTGCATAGCACCCCACTTGGAACATCACCCTTCATGAATGATAGTTGCTCTTTTTTTTTTTTTTCCAGTTGTAGATGAATGCAACATCTTTATTTTATTTATTTATTCTTTTGCGGTGCTAAGGATTAAACCCAGTGCCTCACTCATACTAGACAAGCGTTCCACCACTGAGTCCCAGCCCCAGCCCGATAGCTGCTTTTTTGCATGTGGGAGATTATGTAGGAACTCCTTGGAAGTTTTCTTTCTCTTTCTGAAATAGGGAATTCATCTTTAATAAGAGTATCAACCTTCCTCTAGGTCTTTCAACCTTGGATTCCATTTGTGACTCACTGAGTGTTGCTTTCCGTGGGGTCAGTCACTGCCCTCCTAGTGGACTCTATGCCCACCTCTGCCGCTTCCTAGCCTTGTGCCTGGGCCACCGGGATCCTTACGCTACCGCTTTCCTTGTTGCGGAGTCTGTCTCCATCACCTGTCGCCACCAGATGCTCACCCACCTTCATAGACAGCTCAGGTGAGTGCTCACCATCACTAAGGCTCATGCTGGGCAAACTGCAGAGAGGGCTGAGACTTTGAAGGAGAGGAGCTCACTCCAACTTGTGTTGTCTGCAGCAAGGCCCAGAAGCACCGTGGATCACTCGAACTGGCAAACCAGCTGCAGGGGCTGAGCCTCCAGGAAAAACCTGGAGATGTCCCCCTGGCCAGCATCCAGCGTCTCTTTTCCTTCAGGACTTCAGAATCTCACCAATTCCTCAAGCCTGAGAAGGAGAGTTTCCAGGAGCTCCTGGGTCTGATCCCCAGTGGTACGGTGGTAGGGGAGCTATTCTGTCCTCTTCTGTATCTTCTTACTGAGTTGGGTGGAGGAGTTTAAAGCATTGGTCAGTTTATATAGATTTGCATTCCTTATGTCATACCTTTTATCTGTTAGCCATTTGTTTCTGTCATCAAACAAACATCCCCTGAATCAGGAAGTCTTGTTTTTAACCTCAACTTTGGTTTACCAGAAAATTCAGTGTCATTTTTCAGATCTGAGTTCAGTTGTCTGGGGTCTTCCTATACTTACATAAAACACCCAGACAGGTGATTTGAGTGCTTTACTCTGTGTAGGAACTTTGTTGTGGGGGACACAAAGAAGTACAAGTTCCCTGTCCCTAGGGAAATGTTAGGGCAGGAAAAAGTACCTGAACATCCAGTAATCAGGAAAGACTTCTTGGAATTGTCTTGAGATGGATAGGAGTATTGCATGCAGAAGATAGGGACAGGAATTCTCATAACCATTGACATGATTTTGAGTGTGTCCTGTGTGTCAGGGGTGACTGTCTGTGTGTTGGCTCTGGCTACCCTCCAGCCTGGAACCGTCGGTAACACCCTCCTGTTGACCCGACTGGAAAAGGACAATCCCCCAGTCACTGTGCAGATCCCCACTGCCCAGAGCAAGGTAGGGTTCCCTGTGGCCTCTGATCAAGCCATTCATATCTTGTGGTTGGGGGATAGAGAAATGGTGATCCCTAGGTGACCCAAGATCTTGCAACCCCATCACCCACAGTTCCCACTGAGTTTGGCCCTGAGAGAGTTTGATGCCATCCAGAAGGACCAGAAAGAGAATAGCAGCTGTACTGACAAGCGAGCATGGTGGACAGGGCGGCTTGCACTGGACCGCAGGATGGAGGTGTGTACTGGGAGGAGGGCACTCAGGCCTGCCTCAGAAATGACCCAAGGGTTGCCAGTACCTTCCCTGGTAGAGGTCCCGGGTCAATGCTGAGCTACTTCAAGTTCTTTCTGAAAGTGTAGGCCTCAATAAAAATTATCACTTGGGGAGGGTTTTAAATAATAAGAATTCCAGACTTGAAGGGGATATGACAATTGAGTGTTTAAAGATACACAGAAGAAAAAAAAAAAAAGCTTCCTGGCTTTAGCTTTCATTGCCCACCTGTTCTTATCTGTCATATTGTTGTAGTGATCTATAAGGATCTAGACTTTTAACCTTTTATGACTGGTAGGAAGGTAAGTAAGACAAATAAACATATTAGAAAACCCCTTTCCTCAAGTCCAGAATGTCGATGCCTATGGGGAAAGAAATCCAACTTCTTCTCTAACTGAAGTCTCTATCGCACTCCTAGGATCTCATCACTTCCCTAGAGAAGCACGTGTTGGGTTGCTGGAGGGGGCTGCTGCTGCCATCCAGTGAGGAGCCTGGCCCTGCCCAGGAGGCCTCCCGCCTACAAGAGTTGCTGCAGGAATGTGGCTGGAAATATCCTGACCCCAATCTGTTGAAAGTGAGTTCAGGAAGCAGAGAGGGAAGCCATTGTACTTGGTTCTTTCACCCCAGCCCCAGTGAGTGAAGACGGATGGCAGCTAAGGCACCCATTAACTGCTGCTCCCCTACAGGTTGTTCTCAGTGGTGCCAGTATCCTCACTGCCCAGGACATTCAGGCCCTCGCCTTCGGGCTGTGCCCCACTCAGCCAGAGCGAGCCCAGAAGCTCCTGAGTGAGGTAGTAGGGCGTTTACAGGGCCAGATGGCACCAAGCAATAGGCACCTTGTCTTGGTGCTAGACAAGGTAAGGAGTAGGACAGAAGGGTGGTGTCTAGTGGGTAATGGTTACCAGCTAACCCCAGGCTCCTGCTTATACCTGGCTCAGGACAGTAACCTCAGAGTGCTTTTTATCCAGGACCTGCAGAAGCTGCCATGGGAAAGCATGCCCAGCCTCCGTGTACTGCCTGTAACCCGGCTGCCCTCCTTCCGCTTCCTGCTCAGCTATTCCATCATCAAACAGGTGGGGTTTGGAGGATAGGGGTCTGGGGACGATTGGCAGAAAGAGCAAAGAGTCTTAGTAATGGATCAAACAGGAAGAAGGGCTTACAGTTTACTGGAGGTCAGGTCTTCTGCTGAAATCAGGGTTCTAATCACCAGTATCTCTTCCTTAGGGTGGGGCTTCGGCAGTGCTGAGCCAAGGGGTGGATCCGCGAAGTACCTTCTATGTCCTGAACCCTCACAATAACCTGTCAAGCACAGAGGAGCAATTTCGAGCCAATTTTAGCAGGTCAGGGGGGTGAAGGCAAAGGGCGTATGGGGAATGGTAGAGATTAAATACAGGGACAAAGTGCCTTTTCTCCAGAATCGGAGGTTGTGGCCGACCTTCTGTCTACTGTTTCTCTGTTTGCCACATGACACCTGCTGTATAGTTCCTATTCTTACTCCTACTTTTTCCTTGCAGGGAAGCTGGCTGGAGAGGGGTGGTCGGGGAAGTGCCAAGCCCTGAACAAGTGCAAGCAGCCCTGACAGAGCATGACTTATATATGTGAGTGCTTAGGGCATGGAGATGGAGAGGGGCAGTCCCAAGGATGGTATCACCATGGGTTGCTTTGTTACTTTACAGCCTCTGGAACCATAGGCAGAAGCCTGTAGGTCAATACTTACCTCACTTCCTTTCTGCCGTAGCTATGCAGGGCATGGGGCTGGTGCCCGCTTCCTTGATGGGCAGGCCRTCCTGCGGCTGAACTGCCGGGCAGTGGCTCTGCTATTTGGCTGCAGCAGTGCAGCCTTGGCTGTCCATGGAAACCTGGAGGGAGCTGGCATTGTGCTCAAGTACATCATGTCTGGCTGGTGAGGCTCCAGGGGTGAAACCTGTCTCAAGTCATTAAGACTCCTGCCCCCCACCCAGGTTCTTTCCCACTGAATCCCTCTGCTTTTATGCCCCACCTGCCTACCAACCTATTTCCCTGGCATGTCTTAGCCCTCTTCTATCCTTCTAGAATGATGGGCCAAGGAGCTCTTCATTGGCACAATCTCTTTCTCTGCACCCATCACCATCAATCATACTTCCAAGTATATTCTGTTATAGAACCTTTACTTTGTATTATTTCTTCTCTTTTCCCAGCCCATTATATCTAGGTAATCTCTGGGATGTGACTGACCGAGACATTGACCGCTACACAGAGGCTCTGCTACAGGGCTGGCTTAGAGCAGGCCCAGGAGCCCCTCTTCTCTACTACATCAACCAGGCTCGCCAGGCTCCCCGACTCAAGTATCTTATTGGGGCTGCACCTGTAACCTATGGCTTACCTGTCTTTCTGCGGTAACACCTTGGTAGAAGCCATGTGATTGTTTTACCAATCTTAAATTTAACGCTTAGTGATTTTCCCCAGGATTTTATATAAAATATTTCCTTTTAATTTAATAAAGATATATCATTTAAACCCCATTTTGTGTAGTGTGTCTGAGAACCATCTAAAGACAAGACAGCTTCTTCCCTTCCACTGTGTGGTAGGTACCATAACTAGACAAAAATAGCTTGCAGGAGTTCAAGGGTTTTGTTTTTTGTGGTACTGAGCATTAAACCCAGTGCCTTGGGCATGATGGGCAAGCACTCTACCGCTGAGCTATATTCCCTACCCTTTTTTAATTTTTATTTTGGGGCAGGGTTTTGCTAAATTGCCTGAGCTTGGCTTGAATTTGTGATCCTCTGGCCTCACCTTTCTAAGCAGCTGGGATAATGGGTGAGCAATGCAGCACTGACTTTTAAGAGTTCAAGTTTGAGAGCTTTGGGGGGGAAAAAAAAAGAAAAAACAAAGCCACAGGACAAAGCTGGGCCTGGCTGTGCCTCAGCTGGAGGAGAGAGCAATGAAGATATTGCAAGTGCATTTTGGAAGGACAGTGATGGGCCCATTGAGAGGCTCAATGTTTCAGTTGCTCTGCCTTCCTCCTACATGATGTTAGGGGCAGTTCCTCTCTTTTCCCTATAGCTGCTACACTTATCAGTACCAGTACTTTAGTAACAGATTCTGTAGGGTTCTACTACTTATGTGGCTTTTGTCTCCCATCTAAACTATTAAATTCCTGGAAAATACATTTTATATTTTACACTCTCATGTGTCCCTCCTAGCAAGCATATAGTAACACATTTTTTAAAACACACATGTGTCTGTGTGTGTGTGTGTGTGTATACACACATAGTTTTCTTTTTAGTTGTCAATGGAGCTATATTTTTTAGTTGTAGATGGACATAACACCATTTATTTTATTATTTTTTTATTCTAATTTGTTATATATAACAGCAGAATGCATTATAATTCATATTATACATATAGAGCACAATTTTTGTTACCTCTGGCTGTATACAAATTAGAGTCACACTATTCATGTCTTCATACATGTACTTAGGGTAATGATGTCTTTCATTCCTACCCCCATGCCCCCTCCCACTCCCTCCCTCCCCTTTGCTCTATCTAGAGTTTGTGTAATTGTCCTGTGCCCCCCCCACCCCCGCAACCTCATGATGAATCAGCATCCTTATATCAGAGAAAACATTCGGCATTTGTTTTTTTGGGTTTGTCTAACTTCATTTCGCATTATATTCTCCAACTCTATCCATTTACCTACAAATACCAAGATTTTATTCTCTTTTAATGCTGAATAGTATTCCATTGTGTATATATACTGCATTTTCTTTATCCAGTTATCAACTGAAGGGCATCTAGGTTGGTTCCACAGTTTAGCTATTGTGAATTGTGCTGCTATAAACATTGATGTGGCAGCACCTCTTCGTATGCTGTTCTTAAGTCCTTTGGGTATAGACCAAGGAGTGGTATAGCTGGGTCAAATGGTGGTTCCATTCCCAGCTTTCCAAGGAATCTCCATACTCCTTTCCATATTGGCTGCACCAATTTGCAGTCCCACCAGCAATGTATGAGTGTGCCTTTTTCCCCACATCCTTACCAACACTTATTGTTGTTTATTCTTTTTAAAAAATATTTTTTAGTTGTAGACGTACACAGTAGCTTTATTTATTTGTCTTTATTTTATTTTTATGTGGTGCCAGAGATCGAACCCAGTGCTTCACACAAGCTACCCCAGTCCCTGTTGGTATTCTTAATAGCTGCCATTCTGACTGAGATGAGAGAGTAGTTGTGATTTGCATTTTAATTACTAAAGATGTTGAACATTTTTTCATATGTTTGTTGATTGATTGTATATCCACTTCTGAGAAGTGTCTGTTCAGTTCCTTGACCCATTTATTGATTGGATTATTTGGGGTTTTTTGGCGCTAAGATTTTTTAGTTCTTTAGATACTCTAGAGATTGGTGCTCTGTCTGATGTGCTTGTGGTAAAAATTTGCTTCCCCAGATGTAGGCTCTCTGTTCACCTCACAGATTGTTTCTTTTGCTGAGAAGATTTTAGTTTGAATCCATCCCATTTATTAATTATTGATTTTAACTCTTGCACTATAGGAGTCTTATTAAAAGGAAGCAGGGGCCTATTCTGATATGATGGAGATTGAGGCCTACTTTTTCTTCTATTAGATGCAGGATCTCTGATTTAATTCCTAGGTCCTTGATCCACTTTGAGTTGAGTTTTGTGGGAGTTTTTATGGGAGAGATAAGGGTTTAATTTCATTTTGTTGCATGTGGATTTCCAGTTTTCCCAGCATTATTTGTTGAAGAAACTATTCTCTAATGTATACTTTTGGTGCCTTTGTCTAATATAACTGTAGTTATGTGGGTTTGTCTCTGTGTCCTTTATTCTGTACCATTGGTTATTTTTTATGTGGAGCTGAGGATTGAACCCAGTGCCTCATATATGCCAGGCAAGCATCACTGAGCCACAACCCCAGTCCCATATTTTATTTACTTATATGTGGTGCTAGGCAAGTGCTCTACCACTGAGTTATAACCCCAGCCCTAGTAACATATTTTATTAATAAATCTGAAAGAACTTCAAAAGTGAAAGGCTTCCTCCCGCCCAGCAGTCACCAGGCTGGGTGAATAGCACCCTCATGTGGGGATAGCACACACTACTTTGCAATATTGTGGTTTTAAGCAGTACTAGAATTGAGAGCCCAGCTCTACACCGAGCTAGATCTACAGCTTTTTTTGTGTGCTGGGGATTGTACCCAGGGCCTTGTGCTCGCGAGACAAGCACTCTACCAACTGAGCGATACCCCCAGCCCCACTTTTTTAAAATATTTGAGACAGGATCTTGCTCAATTGCTGAGGCTGGCCTCTAATTTTGATCTTCCTCCTGCCTCATCCTCTGGGGTCACTGGAATTAAAGGCCTACACCACCACGTTCACCTGTGCCCTGAGTTCTTTTTAAGATTTTAAGTTCCTTGATGGCAGAAGTACTATCCGCTACAACTTTACTGGGCTAGGCTTAGGATATTTTGTGGAAAGAATAGGCCCACTTCCACCGTAATGAGGTTCTCTCCCTCCCTCCCTCACCGGACCGAGAGTCATAGAGATGTCTGGCGCAGAGAGGCCTCCTAGCGCAACCATAGAGAGGCTCAGAGGAAGGCTAGAGCGCTGTTCGCCCAGCCGGCTTCCTTGTCCGTAGTCCTCCTTTCCAACATGGCGCAGTCAATTAACATCACGGAGCTGAATCTGCCACAGCTAGAAATGCTCAAGAACCAGCTGGACCAGGTGGGGACGGGCCCCAGACACATCTTTCTCCCGCTTCACATCCCCGCTGCCCGCGTACTCCCTGGCCCCCAACTCCTTCCCAGTTTTAGGAGGCTTCCTTTTCCAGGCGAAAGCCCTATCAGGTCCCAGGACCCGCCCCCTCTCTGGCTGCCCCTCTTCCCCCACCCTCCACACTGACCCTCTTTCCCGTCCTGTATAGGAAGTGGAGTTCTTGTCCACGTCCATTGCCCAGCTCAAGGTGGTACAGACTAAATATGTGGAAGCCAAGGACTGTCTGAACGTGCTGAACAAGAGCAACGAGGGTATGTGGTAGGCGGGAGAGGGCAACTGGGCATGTGGCGAGTCCGCTCCTCTAGACCCACTTCCTAATCCAGTTTTTCTTAGAGAAAAAAAAAAAAAAATCCATTACTCCGTCACGAGCCCTTTGCATGTTGTCTGCGGAGAGTTGAAATTACAGGACATTTTTCTCTTGTGGCCTCTTTTTCTGTTCTTTCACACGAACTGTGGGCGCTGTGCCCTGTTGGAGCTGCCAACCTTCCCCCAGGTGTTTGTGTTTGTTTTCACAGGGAAAGAATTACTTGTTCCACTGACGAGTTCTGTATCCTTTCCGTAAGAAATGCTACCATATCTTCTCTCTCTCTCTTTCTCTCTCTCTCTCTCTCTCTCTCTCTCTGGGTTAGGGGTAGTTTAGATTATAGTTACCCCATGATTTTGAAAATACTCTTACTATACACACTTCATAGCTCTTCTGTCTAACCTTATTTCAATATCCAGGTAATGTCAGTACCAAAGAGTATGAAGAGTTTGAGTGATGGGGCTGGGGTTGTAGTTCAGTGGTAGAGCTCTTGCCTCACATGCATGAGGCACTGGGTTTGATCCTCAGTACCACATAAAAATAAATAAAGATACTGTATCCATCTACAACTAAAAAAAGTATTAAAAAAAGAGTTGAAGTGATAGTTCCCTTTCTTGTATGACAATATTAATCTAATACTTATGCTAATAACTTAGAAGATATAGCAATAGAAGAGTGGGAAGATATAGAAACAGGTTGGCTCTGTTTCTTAATCGTCAATTTCAGCTTAATTGTCGTGCATTCCTAAAATACTTTAAGAAACCTGGATTGTGGGGGCTAGGGATATAGCTCAGTTGATAGCATGGTTGCCTTGCATGCACAAGGCCCTGGGTTTGATCCCCAGCACCAAAAGAAAGAAAAAGAAATCTGGTTTGTGGCCATCTGTTTTAACATGAGTGAGCAAGTTATGGCAATAGGGCACCTACAATCTGTAGTCTGAGAACTGACAGGTTAAAAGAGAAGTACAGGCCCAGCCCAGTGGCACACATCTGTAATTCCAGTTGCTCTGGAAGCTACAGCGCTAGGATTATAAGTTCATAGGTCATCCTGGGCAACTTAGGGAGACCCTGTATCAAATAAATTTAAAGTGTTGGGGTTGTAGCTCAGTAATAGAGCATTTGCCTCTATTACTGTGAAAGGACCTGGGTTAGATCTCTAGTACTGAAAAATAAGACAAGAAACCACACAGAAATCGCAGTATAGTGGGGAGTGGTTAAATAGTAGAGATTAAATCCATCAGGAGTTAGCTACTTCATGGTTGAGAGTGTTGAGGAGAAATGAAGCTAGCCTTTGACCTGTACTAGAGCTTTAAGAAAACACTGTATTTGGTATTTGTGGAGGGGTTAATGGGAAGAATTACAAGAAGTGCCTGCAGAGCAAAAGATGGGATCAGCACAAGAGTGTCCCAGCATATATAATTTTCTGCATACGGAACCAACCTGTCTCTCCCTCTTTGAAGTTACAAGTATAGTTCTAAGGCTTCCAGCAATCTTCATGCTTTATAGCTTTTTAGAAAAGGAAGGTCAGACTGCTTAACAAGGAATCATGGCTCATGCGGAGCTAGTCTTTCCCTTAATCCTGGCTTCTCAGATGTATGTCCCTGGGAAGCTACATGATGTAGAACATGTGCTCATCGATGTGGGAACTGGCTACTATGTGGAGAAGGTGAGTAAGGTTAAGCATGTGGATGTCCTTTTAAATAGAGAAGGGGAGTTTAAGGGAAAATCTACAGTGTAGAATAGGGTCTCCTTTAACCCCTTCATTCACCTCTGATCTTGCAGACAGCTGAGGATGCCAAGGATTTCTTCAAAAGGAAGATAGACTTCCTCACCAAGCAGATGGAGAAAATCCAGCCAGCTCTGCAGGAGAAGCATACCATGAAACAAGGTGAGTGCTGCCTAGAGCACCTCTTGACCTTTTCTTCCTGCATAGTAAAAGTACATAGAGAGCTGGGCATGATGGCACATGCCTGTAATCCCAGCTACTCTGGACGTTGAGACAGGAGGATCACAAGTTTGAGACCAGCCTGGTCAACTTAGTGAGATCCTGTCTCAAAAAATAAAAAAGGGCTGGGAATATGATTGAGTGGTTAAACACCCCTGGGTTCAATCCCCAGTACAAAAAAAAAATAGCCTGGGCCCACTCCAGATCAACTATTAAATCAATCTGAAAGTTGGGGGAGGCATAGTTGTCCCTAAAAAGCTACTGGGTGGGGCTGGGGTGGGGCTCAGGTAGAGTGCTGGCCTAGCATGTGTGAGGCACTGGGTTCAATCCTCAGCACCACATAAATATAAAGATATTGTGTCCATCTATAACTAAAAAATAAATATAAAAAAAAGTCTCATCTGAAAATATTTTTAAAAGAAAATTAAAAAATAAAAAGCTACTAGGTGACTATGTTAGGGAGGATTGAGGACCACTATTGTAAAGGCAAATATATATATATATATATATATATTTTTTTTTTTTTCTCAGTGGTGGGGTCTAATCTAGGGCCCCACCCATACTAGGCATGTGTTCTACCACTGAGCTATGCTCCAAGTCCTCAAAAGACTTCCATATTACAATTTTCTGGATGTGTCAGACTAATACAGTACTGTGTTTTGTCTCAACGTTTAGCATATTGACTGACACATGGTAGACTCTAAATTCATGTTAGTGTGTGTCCCCTACAGTAGATTGCTTATTTAAAGTTTTAAACAGGGGCTAGGGTTGTGGCTCAGCGGTAGAGCTCTCACCTAGCACGTGCGAGGCCCTGGGTTTGATCCTCAGCACCACAAATAAATAAATAAATAAAGTTATTGTGTCCAACTACAACTAAAACATAATTTTTTTTTTTTTAAGTTTTAAACAAACTGATTTGGGAGGCTGAGGCAGAGGATGGCAAGTTTGAGGCTAGCCTCAGCAATTTAGTAAGGCCCTAAGCAAGGTGATGAGACGTTGTCTCAAAATAAAAAGGGCTGGGGATGTAGCTCAGTGATAAAGTGCCTCTGGGTCAGTTTCCAGTACAAAACAACTGTAGTTGGTCGTTCACCTGTTTCTTTTCCTTTAGCTCCTGACAAGGATGTGACTCTTCCTTTTTTCCCCCCCCGTAGCTGTCATGGAAATGATGAGCCAGAAGATTCAGCAGCTCACAGCTCTAGGGGCAGCTCAGGCTACAGCCAAGGCCTGAGAGTATGTTGCAGAAATGGAGCAGAGGGACCCTGCTTCAGGGGATTGGGACTTTGTGGGAGTGACCTCCTGGTGTCCGGGGAGGGGAAGGATCTTGTGTTTAATGCTAATAAATGTGCCAGCTGGGTAGAGTGTTGGTCTGTTCTTGCATTAAGCAAGGGCCTGGTGATGAGATGGGAGAGGGTGATCCAAAGGGTGACCCCCTTCCCAGAGTCTGATAAACAAAGGTAATGAGAGCTGCAGAGAAACTGCCAAATTGAGTGCTCCGCCTAAAGGCCGGTTGCCATAGGAACAGTACGCAAGCGGAAGTGGAGCTGCGTGTGCGCTTCCCCTTCCGGGTCGGACCTTCCGACTCCCGCCGGAGTAGGGGAGCCACATGGGACGCAGGTTCTTGCACTGTTTCTTAACGCTCTTGCTGCCGAGATCAACCCTCCAAACCCGGCGCTGTATGCTAAGCCCAGAGTCCGGCCCGCCCCCAAAAAGGTCCCGCGGCGATATGGTACCACCACGAATCGGGACACACAACGGCACCTTCCACTGCGACGAGGCGCTTGCATGCGCGTTACTTCGCCTGCTGCCAGAATACCGGGTACGGTCTGCGAAAACTGACCCGGGGACTGCTTGCGGACCCGACGGGGTCCCTCTGATGGCTCAAACAGCCCGAGCACTGCCCTAGGCCTGATTCCCTGGAAACCCTTCATTAATCCTCTACCCGCACGACCGCGTCCTGATAGCCTCTTCGCCTGCTCTGTCCCCTGTAGGATGCAGAAATTGTGCGGACTCGGGACCCCGAGAAACTGGCTTCGTGTGACATCGTGGTGGATGTGGGTGGAGAGTACGATCCTCAGAGACATCGATATGACCATCATCAGAGGTGAGTCCTCAGATACCACTTGTTTTTTGTTTTTTTTGTTTGTTTTTGGCGGTGCTGGGAGTAGAACCCTGGACTTGCTCATGCAAGTGAGCGCTTTACTACTGAGCTACACCCTCAGTCCTAACTTACTTAACTTTCCCCTGTGCTCCATTTCAACCTTTCACTGCTCAAGTCCATGTTAGGGAACAGTTCGACTGGAATCGAACTTGCAAGGCTTTTTGGAACTATACAGCCTTCCATCCCTCCTGTTCTCTGCCTGCCGTGTACCCATCTCCCTGGCCTTGGACCTCCCTTGGCTCCTAATAACTCCCTCCAGCTCCTCCTAACTCGACTTGTTTGGCTTAGTTAGGCTTTTATTCACCATTGCTGTCATCAGCCCAGCCAATACCCCATCTGGGATTAATGTGTCCTGTGCCATTGGTGCCCCACCTCTGACTACTGGGCTTACTTGATTTTGGCAGTTAATTACAGTTCAAATATGCGTAGTGTTTATTTCGTTTATACTCTTCCACTGGGAAATCCTCTTGTTCAAGGGTAATCCATTATCCACAGTACCATTCCGGTCCTTTTCCCTCACCTCAAACCCCTGTTCACATCTCTGTGGGCTCTTCCAGGGAGCATTTCCTCAGTTTCCAACCTGGAAACATCCTCAACTCCTTCTATCAGTAGAAGAAATATTGTTTCCTTCTATTGGGAGGTTATTTCTCTGTCCTATTCCAATCTGTAACTTTCTCTTTTGGGACTTCACATCACAATTCTGCCACCAACCTTTCTATTTTTCCTTCATTAAAGCCAAAACTCTGCTCAAGCATCTTCCATCTTGAAAACAAACAAAGGAAGAAAAACAAAACACTATCAGTGATACTGTAATATAAAAGTAGTTATTGCTGAGGTATTTTAAAGATGTTTGGGGGTTGCTGAGGATGGAACCTAGGACCTTGAGCATGCTAAGGTAGTGTTCTACCTCTAAAATTTTTAAAAGACTTTAAAACCATCTGTATCGGGCTGGGGATGTGGCTCAAGCGGTAGCGCGCTCGCCTGGCATGCGTGCGGCCCGGGTTCGATCCTCAGCACCACATACCAACAAAGATGTTGTGTCTGCCGAGAACTAAAAAAATAGAATATTAAAAATTAAAAATAAAATAAAACCATCTGTATCAAACATGTACAGAATTTTTTTCTTTATTCCCTAAACAATACAGTATAACATATTAACATAGCATTTACATTGTATTGGGTATTATAGGTAACGTAGAGGTGATTTAAGGTACACAGGACAAAATGTTTATTTAAATAAGGTACTGATGATCTGAGGTTTGGCTCAGGGGTAGAAAGCTCACCTAGCATGCGTGACGCACTGGGTTCGATCCTCAGCACCACATAAAGTAAAATAAAGACATTGTGTTCACCTATAATTAAAAAAATATATATTAAAAATAAATAAATAAGGGCTGGGATTGTGGCTCAGTGGTAGAGCGCTCGCTTAGCACGGGCGGGACCCGGGTTCGATCCTCAGCACTACATGAAAATAAAGGCATTGTGTTGTGTCCATCTACACCTAAAAAATAAATATATTTTAAATAAATAAATAAGATATTTGAGCATCAGTGGAATTTGTTATCCATAGGGTGTCCTGGAGCCAGTCTTGCACAGATTCTGAAGGACAGTTGTACTTGTTTGGTTGCTTGTATTTGTCTTCTTGCAGCAAATAAATTTGAAAAGCAGATATTTTTTCTTGAATGTCTAATAAAACACAAAACCCGAGATATGGTAAATGTTGAGTTTTAGTCATTGTTCAGTGAATGCATGAATGGAGACTCTAAGCCAAGGTCTATGTTAATCTCTGAGGAAAAGCCAAGCCCCTCCTGGCTGGGCTTTCTCCTCCCAACTCCTGCAGTGGCCCCCACCCTCCCATGTCTGCACAGGTGAGCACTCACACAGTATTCACTGGGGCTGGCTTCTTCACCTCGGCCCTACCTCCCTATGCTCCTCAGGTCTTTCACAGATACCATGAGCTCCCTATGCCCTGGGAAGCCATGGAAGACCAAGCTGAGCAGTGCTGGACTCATCTATCTTCACTTCGGGCACAAATTGCTGGCCCAGTTGCTGGGCACTAGTGAAGAAGACAGCATGGTGGAAACCCTTTATGACAAGGTGGGGATCTGAGGACAGAAATGTCCCACATATGCATCTCTACCAGGCTTTCTAGGCATGTTACCATGGAGCACTCCGGGCTGGGCCTCAGGGTTCCTGGACTATTTACCGCTACCCCATACCCCACCCCATCCCCATCTGTCTCATTTCACAAAGGGATGATCTCTCTCCATCTGCATCCTGGGGTGTCTGTGAGAAGTGGATGACATACTACGTGGAAAGGGCTTTGGTGTTTTTATTCTATGGTGATTTTGTTTTTCAGTCTGATCTCACTATGTTGCCCAGGCCAGCCTTGAATTCCTGGGCTCAAACCACCTTCCTGAGTAACTAGGACTAAAGGTGTATGCCACCATACCTATTATCGCAAAGCAGCATTTCCCAGTCCTGGTAAAATAATTACTCAGAACTTGAGTACATAGAGGAAGCTGCTTATATTTGGAAACATCAAGCTCAGAGGTTCTCCCTGCCCTGAAGTTTGAGGAGGACATGTCTCATCGCCACTCTAATTCACTTGTAACACGGGAGTTGGGAAGGGACTAATTTTGAAAATATCTTCAAGTTCCACCAGGTTCCCTACAAGCAGCTTTCTGCTCTTGGGGAAGGAATAGGACTCACAGCCCTGGGTTCATCAGATCAAACATATTTTATTTTAGTGTCAGAGATTGAACCCAGGGGTGCTTAATGACTGAATCATATCCCTAGCCTTTTTTATTTTTATTTGGAGACAGGGTTTCACTAAATTGCTAAGGCTGGCTTTAAACTTGGCAATCCTCCTCCCTCTGCCTTCTGAATTGTGGGATTACAGGCATGTGCTATGCCCAGCAGATAGCAGCTTTTTAGACTGCCAGGGTCAATTTTAATTTCCATTGCTGAGAGGTTACTAAGCAGCTTACTAATTTAAATGTTTTTTGTTTCTTTCTTATTGTAATGGCATTTGAACCCAGAGGTGTAGCTTTACCACTAAAATACATTCCCAGCCCCTTTTATTTTTTTGAGATAAGGTCTTGCTACATTGCTTAAGGCCTAAGTTGTGGAGGCTGGCCTCAAACTTATGATCCTACTGCCTCCTCAAGTTGCTTGGATTACAGTCATGCACTGTGCTAGGCAAAACCTGTGTTGGGGATCCAAGCATCAAATTAGGGTCCGTAACCAAGTGGTGCTGGGTCTAGATGAGTTACTTGTCCAACACTTTTTGTACATGCCACATATATGATAAAGGAGGCCTATTTTGTATGAAAATCACATTGATTCTGCCCCCAAACTCTTGAGACATTGTTTTACCATTTCTTCAAGCTCAGGAAATGGGATTCCCTGGCACCCAAACCTCACATCCTCTCATTCTTCCCTACTCAATTTATGTGCTTACAGACCTTCTTGTAACTCATTAACTGCCACTGAATAGACTCTATAGCCCACCTGGAGCTCTACCCTCCACCAGTGATAGGAATCTACTCCCATAGTCCCCTTTAGGAACTGAGATCCTTCTTATTCAAAAGCCAGCAGTGCCCTCCCCACACATGCTGGCCATGGCTTGGGCTTGGTACAGTGAGCAAGCCCTGGGTTAGAGGTCAGGTAATTTGAAACCCCGTCCCAGCATTATTAGCTCTCTGATCTTTGGGCAAACCCGGTTCCCCCCTTCTTCATCCAGTGAGTGGTAAGATCCTTACAGGGTATTGTGAGGATTAAGTGAAATAGTATGTATGGACATACTTTGAAACCTATGTGACTTTGCACAAATGGTAGGTATCCTCAAGAGCATTTCCCATGCTGCTGCCATAGATGTATGAGAACTTCGTGGAGGAAGTGGACGCAGTGGACAATGGGATCTCCCAGTGGGAGGAGGGGGAGCCTCGATATGCACTGACCACTACTCTGAGTGCCCGAGTTTCTCGACTTAATCCCACCTGGAACCATCCTAACCAAGACACGGAGGTAAAGAGGGCCCCTGGGAAAGAGACCCTGAGATGTAAAAACCTCAGAGGAAGTTGGAACATTTACTCCTCTTTTTTTCTTTTGCACCAGGGATTGAACTCAGGCACTAAATCACTGAGCCACATCCCACTCCTATTTTGTAGAGACAGGGTCTCACTGAGTTGCTTAGTACCTCACTTTTGCTGAAGCTGGCTTTGAACTTGCAATCCTCCTGCCCCAGCCTCCCAAACCTCTGGGATTACAGGCATGCACCACCACACCCAGCTACATTTGCTTCTCTTAAACTCTAGCAAAGTAAAGTTTGGGCCAGCACCATGGTTCCAATTCCTACCATTCCCAGGCAGGGTTCAGGCGTGCAATGGATCTGGTTCGAGAAGAGTTTTTGCAGAGACTTGACTTCTACCAACATAGCTGGCTACCAGCTCGGGCCTTGGTGGAAGAAGCCCTGGCCCGACGATTCCAGGTACAAGCCTAGGAGAAGGCATTGGGGATCAGTGGTGGCTGGCAGGCTGCTATTCTAGCGTTACATCTCTTTCAGGTGGACCCAAGTGGGAAGATAGTAGAACTGGCAAAAGGTGGATGCCCCTGGAAGGAACATCTCTATCACCTGGAATCTGGGCTGTCCCCCCCTGTGGCCATCATGTTTGTTATCTTCACTGACCAGGCTGGACAGTGGCGAGTTCAGTGTGTGCCCAAGGAGCCCCACTCATTCCAAAACCGGTGAGGCACCAGGGAATGACCCTGCACACCTTCAGGCCTGTTTTAGCCCTATTAGGGAATGCTGCCAACCTTGGCCTCTGATCTTCTCCCCTTTCCCAGTTTCTCAGGTCTGTTTGCTCCCACAAACTCCCTTTTTCTCTTCATTTGTAGGCTTCCTCTGCCAGAGCCGTGGCGGGGTCTTCGGGATGAGGCCCTGGACGAGGTCAGTGGGATTCCTGGCTGTATCTTTGTCCATGCCAGTGGTTTCATTGGTGGGCACCACACTCGAGAGGGTGCCTTGAGCATGGCCCGTGCCACTCTGGCCCAGCACTTAACACCTATGCCTTCCTCAGATCCCCCAGTCCAATAAAACAACTTACTCTTATGGATCCAGTCCTTTATTCATTATTACCCTACATTATTCTGGGAACTTGCTCAAACCTGGCAAAAGCAAAACATCTAATATGTGCAAGTCCTTATGCTACAAGTTTTCCTCAACACTAACTTCTTAGTTTTGATTTTCCAGTCATTTTTTAAAAGAATCTAGTTCCGGGGCTGGGGATGTGGCTCAAGCGGCAGCGCGCTCTCCTGGCATGCGTGCGACCCGGGTTCGATCCTCAGCACCACATACCAACAAAGATGTTGTGTCCGCCGAGAACTAAAAAATAAATATTAAAAATTCTCTCTCTCTCTCTCTCTCTCACTCTCTCTTWAAAAAAAAAAAAAAAGAATCTAGTTCCTAGGGTTAAATAACTGAAAAATTCAAAAGTAGCAGATAAAAAGCAACAAAGCAGGAACTTATTCCCAAATCCTTGCCCCCTGCCCCACTGCAATTCCCCTAGAAAAGATAGTCCAATAACTGAATGGAAAACAAACCTTTAATTAGAGGTGGGGATGAGGAGAGTGGGGCTGAAGAGTTGGTGGCCCTGGGAGAGGGTCCCAAGGGGCAGAGCTTGGGGATGTCTCAGTAAATAGTGGCAGATCATGAACAGAGCCTCCACCAGCTGGGGGCTCTTGGCTCCGGCCAAGCACTGGACTAAAACGTGGAAACTGGGCATTGACAAAGTACAAAGGGATGTGGGCGATCCGGCCTGTGGACCAGCACTGCAGGACAATAAGGGAAAAAAAAAAATTAAATCCTGGGTCCCAAGGCAGCCTCATGGTAGAGCCACACAGCAGTCAAGGGCCCTTAGCTTCTCTACCCCAGTCCCCAAAATCCCAGCAGCCTGGCCTACTCACCACACTTAGCAGGGCCCCTTTATTGAAGGAAGGATGGAAAGTGATGAGCTGGGCCTGGGCTCCTGGCTCACCCTGGATAATGCCACTAGGGGAAGCATAGGAATAGGTGAGAGGCAACAGGAGGTTGTGCCTGTAGTGGCTTGTGGGTTTAGTGTGTGAGAGTGGCCAGGAACCCAGACCTAAATGCTTGCCCAGCACTTACCAAGGAAGCAGCTCAAACACAGGGCTATTTCGAGTGCGAAAAAGGAGGATGACTGGTTTCCCATCCTGTACCCGTGGGTTTCCTAGAAGAAATAGGTCCAGTGCTGGGGGTGTTGTTCAGTGGCAGGGCACTTGCCTAGCATGCATGAAGCCCTGTATTTGTTTCCCAGGACCACAAAAAAAGAAATGGGTCCACTGACAGAGGGAACTCGAGTAGCAGTGGAGTTCCAGAGCAGGGGCAGAAAACTAGAGGTGTGGACACACTTGATTAATAGGGAAAACTGACCTAAGCAAAGCCCTACCCTCTGTCTCACCTTTCATAAGCACAGCCAGACGCTCCCCACTGGGGTCCCAGACCATGGAGTGGGCCTCTCCCCCGAGCCTATAGGCCAGGACAAGAAGTGTTCAGTGTAGCCCTTGCCACCTTTCTTTTTCACACTTCCTCCTTTCCTCCCACACTCAGCTCACCTCTCCTCACCATCTGGCGTCTGTATTGTTGTTTCAGACAGATCTGCCACAATCGTTGCTGACTTTGCACCTCCAACGCGCCCTTTCCCCTCACCTGTAGATAATGGGAAAGGTTCTGAGAAGTACAGAAAACACCCTTCCCATTGATCCCCAGTCAGCTCATCAATATTTCTGAAGTCTCCTAAGCTTCTGTACTTCCCTTTACCTATCAGGTTACCATCCTACAGGTTGCTGCCTCCCTCCGATTGTCCCAGACATTCTACATTCTGAAGTATTGCCCTAACTCACCACAATGTTCTGGGAATAACAAGGAGTAAATCAGTGGTTCCCCCAATACAGTGAACAGCAGTCGTTTTCCATCTGGGCTCCAGCAGCCAGTCTGGGGTCAGGAGGCAAAAGGCAGGGGAAGGGAAGTCTATAGGGTGATGCAGAAAGGAACTAGTATAGGAGGTAGGGAGCTAGGCTTGGGGAATTTAGAGTCTACTGGACATACCACCTCCCCAGCTTCTGTGAATCAGTCTCCTTACCTGACAGCGCCCTGACAGAGTGGGCCATCTCTCGCAAGTCCACATCTGGGCCTCCCAGACTCTGAGCCAGAGAGATAAATTATAGCTTAGGGCCTCCAGGCTCCTACACTGGACCCCCTCCCTCTGGCAGTCCCAGGGTCAGGTTCCAGGTACCAAACCAAGTGCCTTTCTCTAGGTCCTTACCCTTACCCTTCCCTTATACCGAAAGACAGCTGAAGGAGTGGTGGCCAGGACTTTGCTGCCATCTGGGGACCACAACAAGTTAGTAACTCCGCCTCCTCGAAACCATGGAAGCGGGACACAGATCTCTGTTGAGATGTCCCATACCTAGGTGAGGAAGCAGAGAGTGAGACAAAGGAAACTCAAGCACCCCATCAGCTTACAGTGGGCTACCCTCTTTAATGTACACAAAAGAGACTGTTAAACATGAGGACATGGATTTATGTTTACAATGAAAGCAGACACTTAAATCTGTGAGGGTGCCAATGGTAAAACTGCTTCCATGATAAGCTAAAGATTGGACAAGGATCCCACTCCCTCCCACATGATATTTTCCAACATCAGGAAAAAAAACTTCTTGCCTCAAGTCAGAGTAGAAGCTGAGATGGCATGAGGGGTACAAGATTGGGGATGTGGCTCAGTGGTATAGCATTTTTCTAGCATATGTAAGACCATGGGTTCCATCCTCAGCATGGCAAAAAAAAAAAAAAAAAAAGCAGGGGTTAGGGAGAGGATAGGACCAACTCACCAGGATCCCAGCATCCACAGGTGAGGCTGAGAGCAGCCGCCCCCCACTGGGGGCCCAGGCCAAGCTGGTGACAGGTGTGTGTCCAGGATGAGACAATACCTGGGCACAGCCAGAAGAAGGTCTGACACAATAGAAGGTATGGGATCAGTAGATAGAAGAAAGCATTGTGATTTCATTTCTTTGCTTCTCCTAACACCTCCCAATCTCAATAGTACCTCCCAGCTCAAATCTAGGATGGGGAAAAGGGGTAACAATCATGGAAATTAAAGGGGAAAAAAAAGGCAAAGGAAGGAAATCATTGCCATTAATGGGTGATGTGWAATGTCAAGGCCAGAGTGAAAAGAAGTAAGCTTTCACTCCTCACCCCAGGAGACAACTTCTGACCAGTAAAGGCAGACAGAAGGACACTGAGTGTCATGCTCCCCCTAAAAGACAGCCCTGTCCCCACAGGCCATCCAGCCCAGTGTTAGGATCATTGATGACATAATCTCAAGGTTCCTAACACTTCTCAGAGTTACCTCCCAGTCCCCAAAGTTCCAAAACTGCTTTTCTACCTATCTTTGTTAGGATGTCTCCTATCTCTGTGCCACACAATGATTTTTGCTGGGAAATAAGTGATGGCACCTGCTGTCCCTTTTCTTTCTTTCTTTTTTTTTTTTTTTTGGTACTAGGAATTAAACTCAAGGGCTCTCTACCAATCACATACCCAACTCTTTTTATTTTTCATGAGACGGGGTCTCACTAAGTTGCTGAGGCTGGCTTCAAACTTGCAATTCTCTTGCCTTAGCCTCCCTAGTTGCTCGGATTACAGGCATGCATCACCATGCCTGATTTTCAGCCCTGTCATTCATCTCTATTTTCAGAGCCATGTAATTGGCCTGACACGGACAGGCTACTACCTAATTAATACCACAATACCACACTTTCCCCTTTCCACCAAACTACAATCACCTTTAATCCCAATGAGGTCATAGGCCACTGATGTACAACCATTTTCAACTTTAAAATATGTCACAGCTGATGTGGTGGTGCATACCTATGATCCCAGTAGTTTGGGAGGTGGCTACAGGGGGATCACAAGTTACAGGCCAGCCTCAGCAATTTAGTCTGGCCCTAAGCCAGTTAGCAAGAACATATCTCAAAATAAAAAATAAAAAGGGCAGGGGTTGTGGTTCAGTAGTAAAGCCCCTGTAGGTTCAATCCCTAGTACCAAAGAAATAAAAGAAAGCACAGCAGCTGGGCACAGAGGCACACATGGCTGTAATCCCAGGGACTCAGGAGGCAGAGGCAGGAGGATCACAAGTTCAAGGCCAGCCTCAGCAACTTAGCAAAACCCTGTCTTGAAATTAATTTAAAAAGGGGAGAGGGGGAGCCTAGGGACTTAGCACAGTGAAAAAAGCACTTAAGTTCAATTCCCAGTACAAAGAAAAAACATTTCAGAGCTATCTTTTCTAATCAGTTTATAGAGCTCTATTCTCATTCTTTTTAGGGCTCTGCTTTATACATCAAATATAATTTGTTTAGATGTGCTTCTACAAATGGACATTTCATTGTATAAAATATTATATAAAATATTTTCTATATTCAGCCTACTGCAGTTGTGCAAGCCTATAACTCCAGCTACTCTCGAGACTGAGACAGGAGGATTCCAAGACAGGAGGATTCAAGGCCAGCCTCAGAAACTTAGTGAGACTCTGCTCAGAATAAAAAATAAAAAAGGAAGGAGTAACTCAGTGATAAGAGCATCCTAGATTCCATCCCCAGTATCACAATTTTTTTCTTTATCCACATCTCTTGTATTGTCATTTGTGTAGAGCAGAGTTTTAACTATAATTCAGGAATAAAAAGCTTACAACTTTAAAAAAATAATTATCAATATTTTATTTAGAGAACTTAGGTTGCTTAGCACCTCACTTTTGCTGAGGCTGGCTTTGAACTTATAATCCTCCTGCCTCAACCTCCTGAACCACTGGGATTACAGACATGCGCTACTGCACTCGGCTTCTTTTCTTTCTTGAGACTGAGTCTTGCTAAGTTGTTCAGGTTAGGGCTGGGATRTAGCTCAGCGGTAGCACACCTTTACCTAGCAAACATGAGGCCCTGAGTTCAATACCCATTATTACTGGGGGAAAAAATTGCCAAGATTATACCTGAACTCAAAATCCTCCTGCCTCAGTCTTCTGAATGCAG